TTCATCCAAAAGAATAAAGGAAAAGAAACAGAGCCCATGGTTTAGTGATCATTTCCTTAAAAGAAAATGTTCGAATGTGAAATTCTGGGTTCTATATCTAGATACTACTCTCGCATTTCAAAAATTCTCCTAAGTTCAAAAAAAAAAAGAAGAGGAAAAGAGACTGGGGGAGGAAGAGATAACACTGTGCCTTTGATTGGCAGCATGCAAGTAACTGCACGGGTGCTGTTATGCGTCATGTATTTTTTTTTTTAAATAAATAATTATACTGATATATTAGTATTTATTTTTAAGAGATAGAAGAGTGGCAAATTTGAAACTCAAATTTCACATAGAATGCCATTACTTTGTTTCTAGAAAAGAAGCATGACTATTGGGGTCACACAGGCAATATGGGTGATTGGCATTATGCATCATGTATTTGGGACCCCTTTTCAACAACATAAAAAGGGCCATAATTTTTTTCTCCAAGAATTTTTCAAATACTCCTCTCTGTATCTCTCTTATTCCGGCCGAGATCGATTGCTTTCCTCTTTTTCGGGACATAATAGCGTAACGCAAGAACATAGGACAAGCTTGCACACGAGTTTTGGGATTACAAAATAAAAATTTTAGTACTCATGGTAATAGAGATCAAATTCCTTTTTTTTTTTTTTATAGAGATATTTTCTGGGAAAATGTTTCCCAAGTACTCCCCCCCCCCATCAAATTTAATTGTTGTAATTTGATTTTTATATAAAAATCAATTAGATGATTATATAATAAATAAATAATAATTAAAATTTTTTCTTTATATATAATTTTTGTTAAATATTTTCATTTAAAAGAAAACCGCAAGGCCTTTTAATTTGCTCCAAAAAATGTTCATATTCTCCTCTCTATATCGCTCTTATTCCGGCCAAGATTCAATTGCTTTCCTCTTTTTCTGGACATGATGCCGTAATGCAGAACACAGGACAAGCTTGCACGTTAATTTTGGGATTACAAAATAAAATACTAATACTTGTAGTAGTAATGATCAAATTCATATATTTTTTTAAAAAGATATTTTCTACTAGCAAAAAGTTACAAAAGTAACTTTTTAAAGATAATTTGTATGGTCGAGCTATTTAATTTAAAGGTGCAAACGATTGAAGTATTTTTGTACTTTGAATAAATGAATTGATTAAAAAATGGTGGATTGTCCTCGAAATTCAGTTCAACACATTGTTTAGGAATGAAAATGCTTTCATGTTAATTTTCTCTCTTTTGAGTTTATTAATTAAATCCATCTTCATAGAAAGTTTCATGCAGAAGATACCCATGGTTTTGTTCTTCCGGCCCGTGGAGCTGTGTCTTTCATAAACATTCATGGAGTATGGGATGGTAACAATGGAGCATGTGTTTTAAGTCACCATCCCTCTATTTGTACACACATGGGATATATGTGAAGTTAACTAGGACATGTCCTCCCTTCAGCTTACGCTATCTGCCTTGTTATCCTCACTGCCTTTGACTCCCTTTAATTTGTCTCTCTAAACTTTTAGTTTAATATGTGATAAGATTAGTATTTATCAGTTAAACCTTTAAATT